CATCTGTAGAGGTTGCTCGCTCTTCTTGTTCCGCAAGTAATCATACACGAGTCCTTAACACGACCCACGACCAGTTAGGGGCTGGTTCCCACATAGTTGACTCATAGCCAACCCACTTCACCTCAAATTCGTGCACACGTCTATCCTTGGTGGTTGACATTGGTGTTCTGTCGTCTAGAATTGCTTCCACCTCGAATTCGCCGGCAACTTCGTGTGGCATCCATCTGTCGTCAGGTAACAGCCCTTCGTCGAAGTCGACGCTCGCTTCCTCAGCAACATCTCGAGCTAGTCGCGCCTTGGCTGATCACAAAGAATCGTTTAGAGCCTTCAGTCGAGAGACGTGTACCACTGGGTAGAACCGATACCCACTTTTATCTGGTAACTCGAGCTCGTACGCAAACTCTTCGACCTTCCGCTTCACTCTGAAGGGACCATGTCATGGGTGAGCCAGCTTCTTAACTAAGCCTGGCTTCTCCCGCTTCATATTTAGCCATACTCGGCTTCCAGGTCGAAATAGAGACTTGGGTTCCGAGTCATCGTTGGCTGAGTCATCGTTCACACTTTTCTGTATCACGGCTTGCTCTGTGCGACTGAGCTACTCGTTGTGGAATATAGCGCGTCGGGCCTTCCCTGCAGCTTGGTATTCCTTTGCCATCTCGAGAGGAATCTGCTGCTGGCGGTTGATTTCTCGGCGCCAGGCTAGTGCCTCAGTCTGCTTACCAACACCTCGCTTTAGAGAAGTCGTCATTGCTCGTAGTGTCGTATGGGCATCCCATCCATGCACCAAATAAAATTGTGTCTCTTTCCTGGTCATATCATGAGGGTTGTTGATCGCAAAGACTAGTCGCTCGGCGATCTCATCCCACTCTTACTGCAACGGGTCTCCCACATAGACAGACTGTATCACGGTCTTGACCGACCGCTCTAGCTGTTCATTTTCTTGTGGGCGATAGCTCAGTGTCGACCTCGACCGCGCTTGTATTAATTCAGAGAAACCCTGGAAGACCTCGCTCATGAAGCGTGGGTCTCGGTCATGGCGAATAAGAGACGGAGCACCAAATCGTATGTAGATGCATTCCTCAAACACCTTGGCTACAGTAAGGGCATCGGTGTCCGACATCGCTTTAGCGATCACAAACCCGGTAAACGAGGACTGCCACAACAATAAGGCAGTGTTCCCTCGACGAGATCTCAGTAGTGGGATCACAAAGTCCATTTACACCACCTGGAATGATCGCTCTGCGAGCACATTACCAAGTGAGTAACCCTTGAACTGCGGCTAACTCCCACTCGAGCTGCAGTCGAGACATGATTTCACATGTTTCTCCACATCTGCGTAGAGACCAATCCAATAGTAGTCGTGTTTCACTCTTTGGTAAGAGCGAACGACACCTTGGCGTCCTCCTTCAATGGGGTCATGACAGTTGTGTAGCACCTTTTGGATCATTGGGATTGGCACCACAAGTCTCAACGACATCTCTGGCTGGTTTTTATCGACCTTTCTTCTGCTCACACCTGTGCAATACAGGACATTGTCCCTTGACAGCACGAAGTTGTCCGCCCACTTCCAGGCTTCTGGAGCCTCTTTGTAAGTCATCGCTGTGGTTTCTCCTCTCAGGACGGCTTTCAGGTCTGACCATCTCAGCTCCTCGTCCTGGGCCTTGGCGATACGGCGTCTTCGCTCTTCTTGGACTATATCCGGGTCAATATCATTGGCGGTTGGTTCGTGTCGGACCTCAGCACTTGGTCGTTGCATTCACGCTTCCGAGTCCTCGGTGACTGCCTCAGTTGCCTCAGCATTGTCGTTCCTTCAGGAACTTCGTCCTCGAAGTGTACTCGATTCTTCTTAGTTTTGATCTGACTTTGAGTTGTAGATGAGGCTTAGGCACGTTCTTGGTCCGCAAAATCAGCAAAGGGCCTGCGTTGTATCGGGATATCGCTGTCTATAGCGTGAATGTGACGTGTCTTTCCGTCTAGAATTTGAACGAATATCTCGGAACTCGTTTTTTCGGCCTTGATGCTTTTTGACGGGTCATAGATCATTTCTTTCATTCTGTTTAGCCCCTTGAGCTCAGTCTTACGGTGGTCATTGAGCACCACTTTTGACACCTTCGACTCCAATGCCTCGCCAGCGAGCGAGTCAGCCTCTGTGTTGTATTCACGCAATACATGCTGATATCCGGACTGACTTGAGCTTCGCAATGAGTTCTCGGTGGCGGTTCAGGAGTGTCATTAGCGAATCCTTCCAACATGCGATCACCCCTAGTGATTGCTGGATTGCCACCCTCGAGTCTCCAACGCTGACTAAATCCTCAGCAGCATATTCCAGGGCTGCTATCACCGCATGGTTCGTGCCACTGTACTCATTTATATTCACCTTGGTTTGCTCGAGGTAGGCACTCGCACCGATCTCTTTCTGCTACTCTGGAAGCTTCCACACTATTCATGAGCAGCTACCGTAGCCACCATTCTTCTCTGCTTTAGCGGAACCATCAAATGAGACCACAACCCCTTCATAGTTATGGGGTAGCTGAGCGTAGAGCAGACTTGTGTTCAACCGAGTACTCGGTGAACCTTTGGTAGGCGGTGTCACAAGCGCTAGCGAGTCATCCAAGTCCACGAAATTAGTGATCGTTGACTGGAGCAACTGAGTGAATACGCAGTCCTTCTCCCGAACTCGTCGCTCTTCCAATTGCCATGGTAATAACAGCACCGCGAACTGCACTGCTCGACCGAAAAGCGACTTAGATTTGTGAACCCATCCCAGAGTAGAGAATCGGGTGTACACATAAACCTTGAGCAGCAGCAACAATGCTAGTACTTCCTTCTCTGCCGAGTGATAGTTAATCGCGGCATCCTTGAGGACTCGTCCGCAAAAGCGAACAGGATGTAGTTTGTCGTCGTGCATCTGCATCAAGGTTGCACTTAACGCCCACTCATTAGCGTACAGCATGATGTGCACCTCCTTCTTCACATCGAAATGTCGTAGGATAGGAGCGTCAGCTACCTTTCGTTGGAGCTTGGTATTGAGTGTCATCTTCTTTGGGTTAGCCCGTATTCCTTCTGGCGACACCTCGTGAGAGAGGAAGTCAACCTTGGACTGACAAAAGATGCTTTTAGTAAAGCTGACACTGATCCTGCATTCTTCAAACCGCGCCAGGAACTTGTCTTGTGTGTCCAAACAGTCGTCAAATGTAGTACCACCGAAGCTAATGTCGTCTACAAAGGATCGACGCTGGAACACTGGGACTAGCGACGATTCGTCGGGTTCACTAGTCGCCAACATGTCTATGTATGGATCGTTCACCATTCGTAACACCGGATCCAGCCCCGACGACGCCTGTCGATCAGCCTCAAACTTGGTCCGAGTCGTCGTCAGAATGAAATCTGAGTCGTCGTCGAGTAGTCGCTGATGTTTAGCTGCTTCTTCAACGAGTTTCATTTGTTCAGCATATCGCTCCCACCCACCTTTAGGCTGTACAAAGCCCCATAGCGCATTATATATTATCCTTTGGTAGATCATGGAAGCATTCTTTAGTCCAAATGGTATTCAGAGCCACTCAAAGTGCCCCAGCGCACACGCATCGTCATCATGATCGCCCAAAATCCACTTGTGGCATCCAACGAACAGAACCACAGGTAATTCTCCAGCTCAGTCAACAAGTCGCCAACCAGAGACATGGTATATTCCATGATTGCAGTTATTGCGTTGACCATCTTGTAATCGATGCATAGTCGAATATCTTGGTCATTCTTTTTCAGTACAATCACGATGGGCGACACCCATGGACTATCCGAGAACGCAATGAGGCCACCTTCAGCAGTCCCTTGAGTAGCTCGTAGAGCTTCTGCAGGTACCTCAACGGAATTCGCATCGCTCGTTGTTTGATTGGCGCATGACCTTGGACGTCAATGTCACATACCACCCCATACGCAGGAGGTGGAAATGCATAACCGCCCGAAATCATGATCGCTTCGTGCTTTTTAAGTACTTCGTCGAGTCGTCGTTTTTGATCGCCGACGAAACTCGGGTTCCTCACATTCGGGGCGGTATAATCCAGCTCTGTGACAGAGAGTTCTGTCAGGTCCGGTAAGAATACTAGTTCTTGAGCATAGTCCTCCAGCGAGATGTAGTTCGCCTCATGCACGGCGTAGTCACCGTCAGCTGGATCGTCGTTGCCCTCTGTGGACATAACGGGCATAACACACATGAATGTATGCTCCAGATCGGCGACAGCCACGTCAGGCGAGTTCTCTTCGTTGTGAGTTTCAGTCAGTGAATTATTGCAACCACAGTCAATATCCAAACACTCAGTTGGAGTAGGAGTTGAAGCTCCTAATGCGACTGCAGCGCTTACCGGATCATCGCAAACTGGCGAGCCGTCGGTCGCACTGTCGACGCTCCGAGCTACAAGCTCCATGCTCCATTGTTCTTCTTGTGATAGTGAACCGTCACCATCGCTTGAGTACTCGTCGAGTTTCTGCAATATGCTAGTCGGCCATGTGTAGAGCTGTCGTTCGACCAAGGGTGGCTGTGATGCCAGCCATCGTTCGTACAGCTTGCACTCCAGCTTGAACCAGGTTTCGTCATGTGATCCAGCATAAGCCAACCCCTGCCACTGCTCGTACTTCCGGGAGTCTATCGGTACGTAGCCAGCTTGCTTTGGCATAAAGCCTCGGGGTACTCAGGCTATCACATTGAGGTGTGCCGGACAGTACACCACCCTGTCAGTGATGTTCGTCAACCG